GATTTTCCCTCGTCTGTTCCTCCCGAGTTCTGCTTAGTCTATGCATGATTACTGAGCCTAGGATTTTAGAGACTATGTTCGTTAGGCTGATCCCCCTATGATTATCACACGAGGACTTGTTTCCCTTCTTGAATATCGGTATAATAAGTGACTTACCCCAGTCTGATGGCACTGTCTCTGATTCCCAGACTTTGCCTAGTACCTCAGTTAATCTACAAACTAGTATGTCACCCCCATATTTAAACACCTCCAGAATAATTCCGTCGGGTCCTGCCGCTTTGCCTCGCTTCAAATTACTGATAGCTTTTGTGACCTCACTTACAGACGGCAGACCAGTGTCTATATCCCTTTCGGGTGTGTCCTGGATGTCGGGGAGGTTCAGTGTGGCTGTAGGCAAGTTAAATTGTCCCTCAAAGTGTTCTTTCCAGCGTTCAAGGCGTCTATCCTGAGAGCTAATTAAGGAGCCATTTTTCTCAGAAATAGTCTCGCTTATGATTTGCCTTCTCCAACCCGTTTCCCTGATGAGTCTAAAGAGTTGCCTAGTGTTCCCTATCGCCGATGCTTTTTCCATCTCTTTCGCCATTGTCACCCACCACTGTTCACGGTCCTTGCGGAGACTTTTCGTAAGTTTCCTTTTGTGCAGCTTTCGCTCCTCATTGAATTCGGAGCTCGACGGAATAAGTCTTCTAGCATCTATCAGTTCGGATGAGGCAGTCGATATCCAGTGGTTTTTACTCACCTTTGGGTTTACCTTATTCACAGCTTTTACAGCTGTATCTATGCCTTCCTGGATATTCTTCCAAGCTTCTTCAGGGTGAGCACAGCTGTCGAACACAGATATGTGTTTACCTAGTTCTTCCTCAAATACGGATTTAGTTTCCTGATCGAGCTGGGGACGTGATGGTTTTACCGCCAGCTGTTTCCTACGTCCGTTCAGTCGTAAGCACATACGAGCCCGGACCAGTGCGTGACCGGTGTCTACACACGTGTTCCAGAAGGAGCGACAATCTCCTACCGACCCACGCCAACGATAGCTTATTGCTATGTGGTCTATTTGTGTCCAGCGTTGGTTAGATGAAGGGGGCCTCCAAGTCAAACAGTACAAGGAATTATGGGAACAAACAAAGCAAGAACCAATCGCCCAACAAATATGCAGGAGAAAGTGGAGATGGACCGGACATTCGCTGAGGAGACCGCTGGGTGACATCGCGCGTCAAGCCCTCGAGTGGAACCCGAAAGGGAAGCGGCGTGTGGGACGTCCAAGGGTGACATGGAGGAGATCGTGTGAAGAGGAGTTGAAAGAATATGGACTAACATGGTGCAGGCGAAAAGTACAGCAGAACACAGAAGCAAATGGAGACGCGCAGTTGAAGCCCTATGTCCCACTAGCCCTATGTCCCAATGGAGCAATAATAATAATAATAGAGGGAGATTATCGTTTGGTTCGAACATAGATAAAACAGAGGTGATGAAGATTCCTGGCCAACAGCAACAACAAAACAACAGTCAACAGTCAGCCATCATGAATGGGAAGAACCTGAAAATAAACCTCCTTTACCTACCTGCGAAGCATCGTTTCAACTACAGGCGGAGGGAACTGACGAGGATATCAAAGCTAGAGTCAGAAAAGCAAGACAAGCTTTCATTACTCTCAAGTCTGTGTGGAGGTCGACAGCACTCAGCGTCAAAAATAAGATCCGGATTTTCAACTCCAATGTGAAGTCAGTGCTACTTACTATACGGATCAGAGACTTGGTGCGTCATAAAGAGCATCTCAAACAAATTACTGACCTTCATCAACAACTGTCCTGGCTCAATACTCAAGACACACGTCTCCATTGAATCCGGTTCTCTGCCCAAGTTTTCACCTCGCTGTACGTCTGCCCACATGCTTTCATCTCCTTTCCACATGACTTCCTGCAAGTCACCCTTCGATGACCAACTCGTCGCTTCCCTTTCAGGTTCCACTCGAGCGATGGTCTGTCGTGTGATGTCACCTGATGGCTTCCTCAAAATATGACCAATCCATCTCCACTTCTTCCTGCCTATTTGTTTCAAAATCGGTTCCCAGTTGGTTCGCTCTCGGAGATCTCTGTTGCTGAACTTTTCTGACCAGCCATCTGATCTTGAGTATTGAGCGAAGATAGCTGTTAATGAAGGTCTGCAGTTTGTTTGAGATGCTGTTCATGACGCGCTGGCCAAGTCTCTGATCTGCATAATGAGTAGCATTGACTTCACATTGGAGTTGAGAATCGGGATCTTATTTTTGATGGTGAGTGCTGTTGACCTCCACATAGACTTGAGAGTAATGGAAGCTTGTCTTGTGATATTTTACTAGATTTAAACAAAGTGAATTAGAGAAACTATATGCAGTATGTTGATGGAGGTTTTCTGGTAGCCCAAATTTTAAGCAGACCGCTAAGATCTAATCTGCTTTCTAAAATAGCTCAGTACCCCATTCCATGAAGCAAACGAGATACTATATGCTCAATTACGACTGCTCACCTAGTCTGTTTATATTCTCTGCGTATTTTCAGCATGTCCGACTGTTATCTTCCTCTTCTCCTCCTTATCACCTATCCAGACAGAAGCTTTTTGTGTCTTTATCATCAGATTTCCTCAGGCCGCCTTGTGTTTCCGCCTAAAAGACCTTTTGCCACTTCTTCTGCGTCACTTTTTGTGTATTGGTACATTTTAACACCAGCTGATTTATGCACAAAAAGGCTTGTAGTAATGAACTATATTACAAAAGACAAAACTAGATAAACACCACATCATATAAATTTAACAATCGAAGTTTGTGTTTGGTTTCATTTTAGTAAACTTGTGGCGTGTGCTACTGACAAAATGTATCAGTAGCATGTAGACAGGCATTCGTCGGCACATGAAAATATCAAATAGCCTGAGAGACAGATCTGACGTCGAAGAGGGAAAATGAACCACAGTTGCAGTAAAGCATGGGAGAGACGAAAAAAGACAAAGAAACACAAGACGAAGAGCAGAAATAGTGCAACACGGAAGGTCTGTGGAAATGACGATTTGCAGATAAGGTGTACATAATTTACCTATATAGAGATATCGAATTCCAAATGAACATTTCATTGCCAGGTCTCTTGTCTTCTACTGTTATAAACTTAATGACATCTTTTTTCTCGCTGTGCCATATTCATTATAGTTGGTCCATGCTATAAGTTTGCACTGGAGTAAGTCAGGGGTCATGTAGGCAGTACTGTAAAGTAACATCTCTGTGGATGTGCATAACAGACTACTCTTCAAAGTTCACATTTATTAATGAATCCAGTACACTGCTGTCCGAAGCTACGAAACTGCTTGGTGATAAAGCGGTTATAAAGATTAGTGTAGACTTGACTTCTGATAATGATTCTGTAGGTGTTATCATGAAGAATACACTGCTGATGCCTCCATTAATCCCGAGGGTATTGACTAATATATGTTCGAAATGCCTAAAAAATTCAACGAAGTAACATCTGCCTGAACTATGAACAGTGTCCCAGTTAGTTAAAAAGTAGTGCGTGTTCCCTATCCTGCAGGGCAGGTTAAAGATTATCTTGTCCGTACAATTTAGGACTGTAGCTGAACGGTAGTGTTTTCCGGAATCTCTCCGTTGCTAATGGTGGAGACCCAACTGAATTTAATGAGCGGTACGCACTTGTTTTGCCATTCGTATACCTGAAGGTTTCTTTCTTCATCAGTTATCCCTTCCAGAAATTCATTGGTGGGTCATTTATTTGTAGGAAATCTATGCCACAGATTGTTAAGTGTAGGTCAGAGACAGAAGTGATTCATGGAAGTCATCGCTCAAACCCGAGAAGGGGTTAATTTTTCCCCTGATGCGTTCCACGTAATCTTTGATTGTCCACCAAACTGACTGTAATAACAACAGAATATTCCAGTTGATTTGCTTGTCTATATCTGTTGTTTGACCAAAAACATGTTCTATGAGATCTACCACAGTTGCGCTAAGTTAGCCGTATTTTTGCCAGAGATTACGTCAGTGATCTAAGATGGGTTCGTTTTCCATAGTCATACTTTTCACCTGCCCTTTCTGTGAGTCACTTTCTTCTCCATTATCTGATCTGCAAAGTGTGTTAACTATTCAAGAGAGGAGTCAACATCTCGGACATCCTGTGTAGCATGATGAAGACTGATAGGAAGTGGCCAAAACTGAAATCAGCATTTTAAGTCAATAGCTGTAAAGAAGGGTGTGTTTATTCCTCGAATCTGGGGTCAGTTTACTTTACGAACATGGAACAACCTCATTGGGCAACTGCTTTTAACCTCTGGCCATTTGGCAACCAATCAGAATAATTTATTCTCCTCTGACCTAGCCGAACTTTAATGTAGCTAAGAATGTGAAAATATGGCGTGTTTTTCCTTAGTAAAAGTCCGTTCCCAACTCTCTTATCTCCTCCTGTTGCAAGACTCATACTACTTCTGTTACAACTAATACTACCAATATATCATATCAAGAAGTGTTCTCAGTCAACAGTCCAGTGTTAAAGTTGTACGTTTAAAAAAAATGAAAATAAACAACATAATTGCTAACTAGATATAAACCTGTTTTTATATATTATTATTATTTATAAATTATATATGTACAACAACGGGCAATTTTCTAGCTAAAAAATATTACAGCTAGCCTATATGTACGAAATAAACACAGAGATAGAGAGAGAGGGAGAGTAGTTCAAGTGGAGTAAGTTAGAAAAATGGGAGAGGGGGAATGAAATATCGAATTCCATGTGTAGATTCCTCTTCTCTTTGTTTCTCTTTGCTTGTTCGTTTGTTTATTTTTAATGTTCAGATACCTTTGTATTGTGGGAGAAAATACTGTGAAGGGAGTTGTGCTGTGAGGGAGACAGAGAGAGTGGACAGGAGGGTTGGTGGACGAAGGAACAAGGGAGTTGAGCCATAATGAAACTGAGTAAGGGGGAACTGAATGATTTCTAATATCCATCGTTGTCATCATCAGGGTGAAATTATCTTTTTATCTGTCCAAATAAGACACCTTGATATAAAATATTTCCCATTTCCATTGTAACCACCATGGCATTTTGAGGTAATCCCATTGGAGCGCCTAAAATTAGTTGGAAAAAAGGAGTATTAAATATACGCTACTGACAAACAATTAAGTAACATGTCTGCATTTTCAATCAAAAATGAAATTGTATAACATTATTTAGAATTAGTAAAATTATAAGCTTCTAAAAATTCATGTCACTTAAAACTTGTCTCACGAGATGTGGACTGCAAAAAAGTGAGATTAAAGATGCAAGTAAGTGATTGGAGAAACCTCTTTGGGATAAAGCATTCAGGAATAAACTCTCCAACATTAACACCAACCATAAGGAATTTAGACCATCAGTGGTAGCCTGGAAACCCGACCTAGAATTCTTAAAAATATAGGCATAAAAGTAACTGGCATTCGAACCCACAAACTCAATCAGAAACAAGCTTTGTCGGTTAAAAAATCCTGTGGAACAGGGCAATAAACAAAACAATTTAGTTTATCTAATACCCTGCCCTCAAATACATAGGTCAAGGTAGTAGAACTAGGTCAGTCAGACTAGCGGAGCAGTACAAAAACCTAGCAAAATCTAGATTAGTTGAAACGAATAAGATAAGAAATCTGGAGAATAGTCCATCTATACTACTCACTACATGCAACTGCACATAGCACAGCCACGAAATAGGATGGGATAGGATGATAGTTTTAAAATCTGATATAGGAACAGGATGGAGGGAGAGAGGGGTGACTGAAGCTTTATTATCGAATCAGCTGAATGAAAATATGTGTAACAGGAATGATTTAACACCTGTCCACCCTGTCATCTGGGAAATCTTACTCCTCCTAGGACAACGAATATGAAAGAAAAAAGAAAACTATAAAACTCAAGTTTCGAAGTCGTGTGAATATAATTGGTGTGATTATGAAAAATAAATGGTGTTCGAAACCTCGCTATCCAGTAAAAATCAATGCCATTTCACTGTGTGATCAATCAAATAAACAAATTAATGTAGAATTGCATACTACCATGGTGTCAAAGTTTTGCCTATATAATAATGAACTTTTCAATTATGAGCTTTAACAGTTGGTGAATTTTTCTAAGTAGGGAAGTACCGGTACATGAAGTTTATTTCAGAAACGTTTTTCTTATTATTACTCTTTAATAGACGATTTGAATTACCAATAAGGACGGAGGATATCGCTTCGCAACTTCTCTTCAGTCGCTTGATAACTATCACAAATGGAAACAATAGAAACTATTGGAGAGAGTTGTGGATTGGTAAACGTGTGACGACACAACAGGCGGCCGCTCAACTACAAACACTGGGCTACGTCTTGACTGCATACAATCAGTCTCTGGATTATTAGCTGCACATTTTTTTCTGACAGAGTCAAAAAGTTCCACAACGAAACAGTCCCAATTTCTGAGCATTTCATTACTGTTGAATGTGAATTAATATCTACAATTACAGTTGAAGTTGTGGGTACAATGTGAGGTATAATTAATACAGTATCATCCCACAGTCACACGTAATGCCAAACAAAACGTCCAAAAGTTACAGAAACAATTCTGTATAGTTTGATTTTATTTTATTCTTTTACGTCACGAGTGGGATATAGGGCTTCAAGCTAGAGCTTTGAAGCTTCGGTAGCAGTGTTTTTTAATTTTTATGGGGTGGGGTTGCCCAACCTTACCTCTCTACTGGCTAAGAGAGGTTTATGAATGCGTTAGGCGAGGATCGAACCTCAGACTACATGCGTGGTTGGAGACTGTTCTATCACTGAACCAATAACGCAATTAACCGCTATTTTGGAGCTATAACTTCGGCTTACGGCCTCTACAATACATTTTTCTTTACTGAAATACCCGACTTGATTATGGGTAGACATTTTTGCTATGACACTTGATAAAATCTTCAAAATACCCATAAACCCTTTGAACTGAATGCATGTATGGTGATTTTTCAATAGATGTATCACTAGTGCGTCGGTGGCACAGTGGTTAGGACTCTCGCTGACCATACACATGGTCCGAGGTTCGATCCCCTACCGACGTACAATTGATATCTATGGTCGGCCTGCAAAATCTGGGCTACCAATATCACATGCTGAAAATTCCATACTTGTACCAAAAATACAGTGTGAAATCAAACTTTAATCAGAAAAATAGTAAAAATTTTACTGATAACTGTAAAATAGACACTTCACTGTAAAAATGTAAGAAAGTACAGATGGCATCACTACTGCATTAATTTCCCCAAGTAATTCAAATGTTCAAGAAGCCTAAGTGGATTTTCTTCTCCAGTTTCGAAGTCACAGAACTATGAAGTCAGAAAATTTAAAATTGTTAATTCACCCCCGAATTCCATCTACAGTCATTATTGCAACGGATTAAAGAGAAGCTACGAAATGAAATTATCACGAATTATTACAGGTGCCGACTGAAAAGCAGTCCACTATTCCTTCCTGTTCAGTACAGCTTGTATATGTCCTGATAAATGTTGTTTTGTTGGTGTTTATTTTCGAAAGCAACCATCAGAAATAGCTGACTACATGCAGATGAATAACCTGGAAGAATTGATGTAAAATTCACAAAGAAATGCAACGGCCACAGATGAAACATCGATGATTATTTTAGTTTAACAAAGGTAACCTTAACCCAATGGTCGAAATCTCAGTGAAGTAGTAAAGACATTTTTAGTCAAAACAAGAAGAATACTTATAGATAGAATTGTTGGAAAATGTATTTATTCATCATTCTTTAGAGTTACCAGTCTCTAGTCACTGTTTCTGATTACTTCAAAGAATCACCACTGAACAATAAGAGGAACGACTTCACATAGTGAAGTTCTTTACGAATTTCTGTGGGAATAAACAAGGGGGGGGGAAATACTATGCCTAAACTTAAAGTTTCAAAAAGAACAGAAGTTAACTCCTAATAAGTATGGATACCTGAAGTTTGAAATGATGTTATTTGGTAGGTGATAGCAATCAATAGGTTGAGTTTCACTCTAAGTGGTACACACCAATCACTGGGAATACAGGTATATATCCAGATGACCAGTGCCAAAATAGAATGTACGAGCTGAAAAGCCTTCAGGTGCCAGCCAGCAGGAATTTAATGTCACATAAATTCCAAGACTTACAGGTGGAAAGCAAAAGGTTAACATAAGAAGCAGAAAAGACAGGACTTCAATTGAAAATAGAGAAGACGAAGCTGATGAAGATAATCAAACAACAGCAAGTACCAATCACCACCAACGGGAGAAAACTGAAAGATGTCACTTCCTTCACTCATCTTAGCATCATTGCTTCAACTACAGAGGACAGCACAGATGAGGACGTCAAAGGCAGAAACGGAAAGGCAAGACGGATATTCATCACTATGCACTCAGCATAAATAACAAAATTCAAATTTCCGACACCGATGTGAAGTCAGTCAGTGAGTTCTTCTATATGACTGAGAGACTTGGCCAACGCTTCACAAAAAGCATTTCTAACAGGCAACTACAAACTCTTACCAACAGCTGTCTTTGCCGACTCTACACTGAAGATCAGATTGTGGGTCACCCAGCCAGAAAAACTAGCTAAAGGAAACTCTCGAAACCAACCAAAAAACCGAAAATCCATCACTCAACAAATGTTTCGTAGGAAATTGAGATGGATTGGACACACTTTGAGAAGACTGCTCAGTGACATCACAAGACAGACCATCATTCGAGTGGAACCCGAATGGAAGACGATGAGTTTGGAGTTCATCCGAGGGTGACAATGAGGGAGGAGATTGTGTGAGGAGGAGGAGGAGGAGACAAGTGCTTATTGGCAATCGTGGGGCCTACTGGAGAGGATTGCAGAGAGCCTGACAAAATGGTGATGTGCTGTTAAAGCCGTATGTTCCACTAGGAACCCAAAGGATTAATAATAATAATTATGATAATAATAAATAATTCACAGTTAAACGCAGAACTGAATTTACAACTTTTTTTTCAAAAATGTTTACCCTGTTGTTGCTGTTATTATTACTAAGTTTGTTCTTTGTTCACTACTGTGCCTTTTGTGCTCTGCCACCGCCCCCCCCCCTCCGCTATTGCCTGACTGTAGCACACCACAATTTATGTGACGATCACAAATAACACTAACATGTATTTCGTTATTATGATTAGTTGGTATTGCCATTACTATTATTATCACCATCATCACTATTAATTTTCCTTATCATCATAATTTATAGTTAATATTTACAAAATATCTACAAGATAAATGCTCCAATAGATTATTATTATTATTAATATTAATAATAATAATAACTCAGTATTATCAGCTATTTATTAACACACTAGAGTAAATATCTTTCAACACAAGAATAACTAACATATTTATCATTGTGTAAATATTGTTACAACAACAACTTCAACAATAACCCTAGAAATCTAATCTCTCTCTCATTTATACCGCCCCAATTCAGTATTCACTACCTACACATAAAGTATATCTCCTATGTGTTTGCTGTCCTTGTTGTAGTTGTTTGTAGGTATATTATGTGTGACACAAATTTAGCCTAATTATAAGAAATACTTTTACGCCTTATACCACTACAACACCACTTTTATGTTCATCATTGTTCGATTAACTCTCGCATCCACTTTTTTTTGTAGTGAATCTACACATTTCCCAAAATGTATATCATTCAGAGGCTAAGATGAATTATTGTTGTAGTTGTGTGTGTGTGAGTGTGTGCGAGTATACAAGTGTGTTCAAATGACTTCCTAATTGTAATAAATTGCACATTTATCAAATGATAGTTTACTTATATTAGTAGTAGTATAAAGGAGTTATTGTATAAAAAAGAAGGTAAACGACGATTGATGTGTAATTTTGTATTTCTATTAAAGAGTGAATGACTAACAGCCACTTTCTTTTTATCGTCTCCTTCAAGAATGCCCATTTCTATCACTCTTTTAGCCTACATACTCGAAATGTTTCTTTCAGCATTCACATTCACACTACAAGAAGTCATCAATTTATCTTTATACTTGTTTAGCATATCTTGTAATCGCATATATATATAT